TCTTTATGTGGAGATGGTCCACTGTAATCTTGCTATTCTATTTTATGTTTGAAAATTGGAAGCATAATTATGATTTGTACTTGAGATAATTTTTTATTCATTTTATATCTATTTTGAAACAAATTCTGTTTCTCATTCTGTAATATGTCATCTCAATCTGTTAGTTATAAAAACATAATTTTACATAAGTATAAGAAGAATCTCAAGGAAAAAAAACTATTAGAAAAAAGCAATGGCAAAAAATTTTGAACAGAGTCTAACACAGGGATTTTTACAATATTTACAATGTTACAATTATTATAGGATGGAGAGTGTTACAAGTCTCTTGAAATACAATAAATTCTCTAAATGAGACAGCATTTAAATAGTCTCAAAGAATGCTTCTTCCTACTGTCTTCATTGTCAACCATTCCCCACTGATAAGGAAACAAGGCTGTTCAGAGCTTGGAGTTTGAATACTTGGGTGTCCCAATCCTTTAGAGTCATGGGGAATCTATAATGTTGTAGTAATTCACTATAATTAAAATGTAAAGGAATTGGTTTGAAGAAGTTGTAGCAACAAAATTATCAGAACAGAGACTAGGGTCAGGTTAGCGAAAGGTTGACCATATTTCCCTTTGCATGGCTTTATCTTCCAGAGAAGAGCCTATCAAGTCCTTGATAGCAGCCCCTTCCTTGACCACTGCTAAAGCCTCTACACACTGTGTTTTCCTTAACTGTCTGGGCATCTTCCCACACCTACTTCATATCTGACTATATCCCCCTATATAGCACTCTCCAGTTAGTGGACCTATTTGTATGACTTAGACTCCTCAGGCTATCTCTAGTCTATTTTAATTTATAACAGTGACTATATCACAAAATAATGATAAGGCAGTGAATGCTATAAAATCCCAGCCATAATTAGAGATAGACTAATGCTATATGAAATGAAAATAATGCTAAGTACTGATGGTAGTCTTATGGGAAACATGTCATGAAAATTTGGGTGTAAGTGCCGTGAAGACAATGGAAATTCCATATCTGTTCTCTCTTCAGAATTTTAATTTTCCTTGATATTAGCTTTGAATATTATAGTCATATGGTAATCCCATTGCACAAATTATAGATTGTTTTATACTCTAATTCCTACAGAATAAGTATTATACTGCTGTTTTATCTCTTCTCATACTCTTTTTTGTCACTAAATTACAAAGGAATTAAAGAGATACTTATTTTCATTTTTGGTTAGTATAGGTGAATGTTGGTCCTGAAATAGCTGTATCTTATTATTTTTTTTCTTATTGTTAAAGTAAAGTAACAGCAGACCGTAATTGAGAAAGCATCTAAAATAAGTATTTACCCTCAAATATTCAGTTATTAATTAAATATCTGAATATTACAGGTTCACTATATGGAATTCAGTTGTATTCATTCTCTTAACTCAATAGGATACATGTTGGTTTCATACAATCTAAAAAATAAAAGAGGAAGAAATTTTTAAGAGACATGGAGAAGAGTGGAGTTGGGCTTTAGGATTTTTAAATAAATTTTGGTGTATTTTATTTTTCAAACTAAAAATATCTATGTATTATTTTAATGCATATATTTATTTTATTTAAAAGCTAGTCACCTAGGCTATTAAGACTACTATGAAGTAATAGTTAAAAACTATTGTAGATCCAAAATGATATATTGGATAGAACTCTCCTATTCATAAGTGAAAAAACAAACCTTACTTTCAACTCACCTAAGTGATGTAGCAGACATTCTTCTTTGACTAACCAGTTCTAGTCCTCCCCTCCTACCCTGATGACAAAGGTCAGATATGTTTAAGGATCAAATCTTCAGTCACATGACTCAGAAATATAGGTTGACTCTCATTAATGTCATTACATTACTCCTTCCTATTGGAGGTAAATGTGTGACCCCACTCTGGACATTGAGGTGACTGGAGAACTACTGAAAGGTCTCTTACTTTTAAAAGAAATACATATGAGAAAAAAATACAACCTGTAGATGTTATTATGTCTACACGTAATATCTGCAACTGCATCACTTTTCCAATAGGTCAAGTAGAAAGCCTTAGTGTTGACTATTGGATTCACAATGTGTACATCATTGGTGACATGGACAAAGCATCTTGGTTGAATGCTGGGGTGAAAGTCTGATCAAAGTAGGTTCAAAGGGAAATATGGGTCAGAGAAGGAAAGACAGAAAGCATACTCCATTTTTTTTTTTAGTAATAATGTTGAAAAGAAGAATAGAAAAGTGGGATATTAGCTATACAGTATGGGATTAGCAGAGACATGATTATTTAAATGAGAGAAATTACTACAGAATGTCTATATGTTGACAGTAATAATCGAGTAGAGAGGGGGAAATTGATGATGAGGAGACAAGGCAGGCAATTACTGGAGCCATGAACTTAAATAAACCAGATGGGATAGGACAAGTGCACAGGTATAGGGTTTGGTATGGTGAGATCATGTATAAAACAAGCAGGAAGACACAGTCTATGAGTATAGACGTGGAAGGAAACTACATATAGTGGGGTGAACTTGTGGAAGTTCTCTTGAGATTGTCTCTAACACTTCTGTGTAATAGAAAGTAAAGGACAGCCAGGAGCTGTTGGAGTTTTGAAGAGAGGGAAGCAACTCTGACATGAGCTAGGAAAATGAGGAGATGAATTCACTGGGGAAGTGGAGTATGTTGGCTGGGCAGTACCAGCTCTTAATTTGAAGTTAGTAGTCATGAATTTAACTTGATATCGGTCAGCATAAATGAGGTTTTTTTCCCTTAGTAACTACTAGCTGGGTGGGTGAATAAGCTTGGGAATATCTGGATATTTTACAACTCTTCTTTCCTCAGAGATTCACAATACTTTTCTCTCAGTGTAATACTGTTGGTTGAATTGTGCTCCCACAAAAAGATATGTTGAAGTCCTAATCCCTGGTACATCAGAACGTGAACACATTTGGAAATAGGGTAATTGCAAAAGTAAAATCAAATTAAAATGAGGTTAAAGGTGGGCCCTAATCCAATATGACTGGCAACTTTAAAAAGAGGGAAATTCAGGGGGGCCTGGGTGGCTCAGTTGGTTAAGTGACCCACACTTGATTTTGGCTCAGGTTATGATCTCACGGTTCGTGGGATTGAGCCCTGCATTGGGTTCTGTGCTTACAGCACGGAAGCTGCTTGGGATTCTCTCCCTTTGCTCCTCCCCTGCTTGCACTCTCAAAATAAATAAATAAATAAACTTAAAAAAAGGAGGGCAATTCAGACACAGACGTAGACACACACAGAGGGAAGATGTGAAGAGACATGGGAAGATGACATATGAAGATAGAGGTGAACATTTGCAGTCATGCTGCCGTGAGCCAAGGAATGTCCAAAGCTACCCAAAGTTGGCAGAGGCAAAGAAGAAGCCTTCTCCTACAGGTTGCAGAGGAAACATGGCCTTGATGATACCTTGCTTTAGACTTCTAGCCTCCAGAAGTGTGAGACAATACATTTCTATTGTTATAAGCCACCCAAGTTGAGTTACTTTATTACAGCAGTCCTAAGGAAGTAATATATGTATTATACTTATTACATACATAGTATAAATACTTATTACTTAAAGTTAACAATAACCACTGAACTTTTATAAACTAACCTTTCCCAAATTTATTTGACAATGAAGTCCTTTCTAATGTAATTCCTACTAAGATCCTGTAGAACAAGTGTTTTCTGAAATGCTTGGAGAAACACTGACTTGACACAGCCCATATTTCCCTAAGTCTATGTTGTTTTTGTTCCACATCATTTATTTGGAATTAGCTCCATTTCTAACTTTTGAAATACTTCAAGATTCCCTAATGCACTACCCCCATCATTAAATATTCCTTTTTTCCTCAAGGAAAATCTTTTAAAATGCTCATTACATTTTTCTTATAATTTCGTTATCTACTAACTTGTTTCCTAGTATACAGTAAGGTTGTTGAAGTCAAGAAACATATCTTACTGATCTTTATATAATGTACATGCAGTGATTCCTAACTCACAAGGTGGGAACAGAAATGGCTTTGGTGGAATTCATGCTAAGACTTTCCCATAACCCTCAAGGCAACCTACAAATGAAAGTTCTTCTGACCCACTCTAGCATGAATATTGTTGATTTGGCATGCAAGTTGTAGCACTGTTTGCTCAGTGCCTCTTTCTAATTTTTTCATTCTCCTACCACTATGCAGTAGCTTTTATAAGCTACGAGTCTTAGTGTGTTCACTGAGCACCTATCATGTATGATCACTATCCTAGAATCTATCACCACATTCTTTTTTAGTCTTTACAAGAACCATGTGATTTTTATACATGGGAAAGTAAAGCTCATAGAAGTTCAATAATTTGCACAAGATCACAATCTCTAGTGAATACCAGGTTGAATATGCAAATCCAAGTTGGTCTTACTCTAGATTCTGTCTTCTCCAGTATACCACTGCCTCTATTTCTGGCCAGAAATATTCAGTGGTTGAAGTAGAATCTAAATTAGCAGAATCACTAGTTATACTCAATAAATTATAAACAATAAGCTCTGCACCATCTTTGGAGCCCTAACTAAACTGTGTCTTAAGGTTCCAATGTCATTAACTTTAACAAGTTAAAGAACTTGTTGAGAGTTCTTTTTCTCTCAACAAAGCAAGAGGATTTCAAAAGTAAGTTAGGTGTTTACAATATTTAAAATATTGCTTCAAAACTTCATGGCATTAAATTGTTACAAAGCATTAGGAAAAACTAAAGGCCACCTAGAATATATTTTCAATCTGCTATAATAATCTAATAGCATATTTGTTTGTGGTGTATCCATTCATTCATTTTGGCAATCAAACAAGTGGTTTTATGACCCCAGATAAACTATCTTATAGAATCTCCAAGTTATCTAACATTTATTTGCCATTAAGTTTATAGATTTAATTGCTTAGAAATAAAATATGGTTCATTTGGAAAAGTTATTTAAAAAATTTATTCTTTTATCAACTTACCTCCATGACCATATCTTCTGTACCATGTAAACTCTAAAAATAAAAGAAAAAGCAATTTTAATCCCAAAGCAGCTTTTCAAGCTGTGGTTTGAAACATTACTCAAGTAACTGATACTAGTTAATAAAATGACATTACTGGCCGTTTCTTATTATGGTTGATGTATCTTCACATGTTTACAACTATTTATTTCATTTCTTTGCATTTTATAGTTGCATTAAAATTTGTGGTCAATAGAATTAGGACAAATTTTCAGTACTAATAAGGTTATTCCTTCATTTTATTCATACAAATAAGACTTAGCCAAAATAATCCTACCACAAAATTTTATTATATTTGTATAATATGTATATAAATATGCATGTAATTGTGTATGTGTGTGTAATTCCTGTCATTATAGCAATGTCATTAAAATTCTCAAGCACTGATGGAATTATTATATTTTATGGATTCTGAAGTCATCATAATAAAAACTAGTCCCCAAAATAAAATAGCATTTTTATTTCCTTAATAATAAACAAAAAGTACAGTAGGATGTCTAGCAGGTTCATCATTAAAACAAAAATGGGGACTGATAAATGAAAATAATTTCCACCTAAGTCTTACACTCAATAATAACCAAACAAGTATTTACTGAGTTAAGGCAATGAAATGAAGGTATTAGAAAAATGGATTGTTAGAAAACATGTTGCTTTCAGATAAAAATATAATGCCCCTCTCCTTGTAGGAAATATTTCTGAATCCTTTGTAGTTGTCTTTGAAAGACAGAGGTATAGTATCTCTCCTAAAACTACAGCACTTTCAAAACTGCTTTGTTGTTTTTAATGTCCTTGAACACACTGTAGATTATTTTAAAATTGTTTTTCACAACACCAGCCAGTAATAGGAATTGAATATTAAGTTACAAATCAATTCATTAAAAACAAAAGTAACAAATGCTTAAAGCCCATTACTCTAATTATTTTACTACCTTTTACTTTTATTTACCCAATTGAGGTTACTTAAGGTACTGTATCCTTACGGTGAAAATAACATAATGGTGAGCTATTGTATATCTTTTCCAATGGCACTTTAAATTATGTCAATTTGTCAAGATTGGGTATAGCAGTAATATTTAGTCCCCAGCCATTGATAAATGTTACGCAGCAGGGACACTTTTCTCTCCCAGAGATCCACATTTTAAACATTAAGCAGCACACTACTACATAAGATTGATTTAATCTTGTGACATTTTAATTGAAAATAAAAAGGAAAATAGGGTCAGCTTTAATATGTATTAATTTACTTGTCTGACACAGATGTCAAAAAATATGAATACTAACTTCATGCACCAGATTTAATAAGGTGAATACACACATACTGATTACATTGACATAATTTATGGAGAATATGCAAAGGATATTTCTTACCTGATAAGCAGGTTGTAAAAGATATTATCACAAGGTGACTGACCAGCAACCACATTTTCATCTTAGGTGCAGAAGTTAGTTTTGATTTTTCAAAAAAGCTTTAGCTTTATGACAGTTGGATAGTAAACACCTACATCCAAAACAGAAGAGAAAGAAAAGAGAAGGAAAGGAAAGAAAAAGATAGGATAAGGGGAAAAAAAGGGAAAGTTAATGTTCATCATTTGAGGTCAACAATATTATCAATTCTATTTTATTTTAGCTGTCTTGTTTATAGAATAAGTTTTAGTTTATTTAAATACATTTGTAAGCACCATGTTGTATGAAATGAGTGCACTTGGTAATCAGAGGGTTATCAGCTGCCTCCTAGTCTTAACACTGTACAAACATGAGCAAATCACTCAATTTTAACTATAACCATTGAGCATAACAGTACTTTTCCTATAAATAGCACAGTAGTAAACATTTTGATATTGACCAATTTAATTGAAGATCAAATTTAAGCGAAGGGCTGGTAGGAAGATTCAATTAAAGATATGTCTGTATACGAGCTTTGGAAATTCATAGACATTATACAAAAGTGATATGTTAGGATTACCTGTTTGGTGGCTTGTGGAACATTTTTTGCCAGTAATGCTAATTTCCAAATAGTATGTGGAATGTGTTGATTAATGGAATGTGTTGATTAATAACACACTCATCCATCATCCTCTCCTTTATTATTCATTCAAAAAAAAAAAGGCAAATTAAAACTTATGTGTCAGCAAGGGAGAATCTAAGTTTTGTGGGGCCAAATCTTTAAAAGTTGGAAAGCTGTATTTAAGAACAAGACGACAAAAATTACTAATGTAAACTAAACCACAGAACTATGCAGTAGTCTAATTAAAATACCTTGCTTTTATAAATTTTGCAAAAACTTAGGATCATGTGAAAACACTGGGGAGGATCCATCCAGGAGGTGCTGGGGATAGCCTGGTGAAGGCTGTATACCACAACTTAAGCTTATTTAGCTTTGTGCCAAATCCATCTCTGTAAGCATATAGATAGAGGAATCAGAAAAGACTTAGTTGACTTGCCCATAAGAAGTTCACAATTCAGTGGGCACACAGATGTGTACAAAAATCAGTGTGATGGAACAGTTGTTTGGACCTAAATGCTATTAAACTTGAAAACACGTTAATTAATTAAAAGCATCGTAAAATACATCATGGTGAGAATGGATCTGACTGTGGCAGCGAGAGCATCACGGTGGAGGTATTACACTCTTAGATTTGAGTCATTGGGTGACATCAGAACCCAAGCAATTCTTTCTGCTCTCCTTGAGAGCTCTCTCCTGGAGAGCAACATGGTGCAGGGCACTAAAAAGAGACCCTTCAGTTGGGATACAACAGTAATTTCAACTTCGGAAGATATTAAATCACGTTTTCAAACAATGTATAATAACGTTGGAAACGCTCATGACCTAGAGTTGAATGTAAAGTCTAAATTAAGACAGAGCCTGAAAACAATACTGAGAAGAAAATATCTAATGTTATGATGTTCAATATAGAAATATATTTAAACATTTTCTTAAGTAGCAAAACCAAAATGGTACTAATTGCTTACATCATAAAGACATGTAAAAAAAAAAAAACCTATAGGATTCTACTTATTTTTTTCAGTTGTGATGAATTTTAAGATCATATTTAGCACCACCCCCACCCTGATCTGCCAGAATTCTAGCATTTCCAGAGACAGGTAAAAATATTTATTGGTACTACATTGACTAGGATAAACCCATTTTTCTCTTTTGGTATGTAGATTACTCTGCACTGAAAAATCAATCAAGAATCAATTATTTCAAGAAAAAGTTGAGGTGAATTCTCAACTTTTAGAGAAACATAAAAACAGAGAAAATATAGTAGAAATGGGTCAAATTAGCATCAGGAAATGTTTAAAATATACTTGCTTAAGTAAAAATATCAACAGTTAATTTTGAAATACCAGGATCAATTTATAACCAATTTCTTTCTCTTGGATGTAGGTGAGAAAGTGAGAACTACAAGTTTGTATAAATCGTACTTTCTGGACTTTTAATTTTAATTTTATTTCTTTTACTAAGCAGAGAGAAAAAGAGAATATTCCTTCAGGAATCGGGGAAATCAATTAAATGATCTATGGAAAGATTTCTAGCTATTCATTTCTATGATGTACAGTATCATTAGTATTTAAAGATAGACCTAAATGAAATTATTGAAACCTGTACACATTGCTTACATCTTGCAAAGCTTGTCTAAAAAATTTACATTTGAGCATTTTCTTGATCTGCTTGATCAAGATCTTATTTCTTCTCACAGAGTTATGTACACTAATCAGGATGAATTCTCTTCATGAAAAGGAAGGTAGGGGCGTCTGGCTAGCTTAGTTGGTCAAGCATGAGAGTCTTCATCTCAGCGTCATGAGTTCAAGCCCCATGCTGGGCATGGAGCTCACTTTAAAAACAAAAAGAAAAGAAAAGAAAAGAAAGGAAAAGAAAAGAAAAGAGAGAAGAAAAGAAGAAAGAAAAGGAATGTAGAAAAGGCAAACAGATAAACCATGCCAAAACTGTTGTGTCAATCACTTCTTTTTTTGTAAATATTAACTTAGATAATATACTGCAAAAATTTTACAGATTATAAAGCATTACACTTTAATGTGGTAATTATTGTATTTTAACTAGTTCTAATTTACCTATTAATAAACTGTTATGATTTGCAAACTCTTAATAATTCTCACAGATGTTCAACTTTAAGAGCCAGGGATGGTGCAGCAGTTTGGTATTGAGGGTAGAGGAACCAGCACTGACCAGACAGAAAAAGAATCAGGTGAATCGAGGCAAAGAATGAAGAACAATTTCTGTGAAAGTTTTCCTGATGTTTATAATTCAGATGAAGTATGTCAGCGAGATTTTGGTCTATTTATCTCATTAACTTTAAAAGTAGTCTCAGAAAGGAGAGCTGGTCTAAAGGAGGATTAGCTGTGCCCACACAGAGCAAGTGATTTCAGAAAATTGGAGGTAAAATACATAAGAATTTTCTAGGTCTGGAATATCATTTGACATTGCCTTCTTATATAACAACCACACTATGTGGGAAACTATGGCAAGGCAGAGTCAAAACAGAACAAGGGGAATTCAGCCAGATCTTGCTGGAATTTTGGCTCACCCAGTTTTTATGATAAAAATGTATTTTATTTGCCATATAACTAGAATCTCAAAAGAAACATGAATTCAATCTCAGATGTTTCAAAAATTCAGAAAGTCCCCATATAACTTTGGGTGGACATATATACTGATTAAATTAAATTATGATTTAGGTCCATTAAATTTCTCTCTTTAGAAAGGGATGAATAGGAGCATGTACCCTATGTAATTAGAACTCATCTTATCTCCTGCCACATGTGGATATCGTACTGTCCAGGGAAGTCACCAACTAAGAGCTTTCCTCACTTCCTCTGTCAGAAAATGTTAATCAAAACTTGCTGTAAAACGAAAGCTGATGTCATTAATCAATTTTTAAAACCAGAGTGGGGTTTTCTCAGTTATTCAAAACTGCTACAGTAGGGTCACCTGGGTGGCTCAGATGGTCGTGTCCTATTTCAGCTCAGGTCATGATCTCACGGTTCGTGAGTTCGAGCCCTGCATTGGGCTCTGTGCTGACAGCTCAGCATGTGGAGCCTGCTTTGGATTCTGTGTCTCCCTCTCGGTCTCTGCCCCTCCCCCCATTAATGTTCCGTTTATCAGAAATGAATGTTTAAAAAAATGAAAAACTGCTAAAGATTTATCTATATGAGTGCCTATGTTCTAACAAAAACACATTACCCTTATTATATTTTCCCAAAATTAATTATGCTAGTAGATTTGGCTATTAGAACTGGGCCATGATTCAAGTCTAATGGTTGAATACGCCAAACATATAAGATTTTGTGGTTGTTTGTTTCTCTTTTAAAAGTTACTACAAGTGCTCAGTTGGTTAAGTGTGCAACTCTTGATTTCGGTTCAGGTCATGGTTTGTGAGTTCAAGCCCTGTATTGGGTGTCATGGAGTCTGCTTGGGATTCTCTCTCTCACTTTCTGTCTGCCCCTCCCCCACTTATGCACATGCTCGCTCGCTCTCTCTCTCTCTCTTTCACACTTTCTCTCCCAAAAAATAAATGAAAAAAAAAATTTTTCAGTTAGTGATAAATTACTAATGTACCAAATAATGAATTTCATGATTTTTTGTAATAGAATCTTCATTTTGGCAAAGTTTTCACAAACAGCACATCGGACAAAGAACCTGGGTACCTGTTATGAAAAGTTTCCCCATTAATGACAAGGTCTTGTTTTTTTGTTTTGTTTTGTTTTGTTTTGTTTTTATTGTGGTAAAATACACATAACTTACGTTAAGTTACACAACCAACACCACCATCTATCACCGTAACTCTTTACATCTTTCAAGACTAGTAACTCTGTACCTATTATACAATCCCCCAAGACTTCCTCCTCTAAGACCCTGACACCCAACAGTCCTCTTGATTTTTTTTACCTCCCCTTTCCCACACCCCAGCATCTGATAGCCTCCATTCTACTCTCTGTTGCTATGAGTTCACCTTTTCTCACCCATTCTTTAGCTTGTAGCTTGCAACAAGTTACTCAATCTCCAACCCTCATTTTCCTCATATGTAAAATGGAAAGAATGACTATTTCATAAGACTGTTGTAAGAGTTACATAACATTGTACATGTGAAATATTTACGATGAAAGTGTTTAATAAATAATAACTTATTATTCTACCAGGCCATAGACCCACCAGGTTAGGGAACATGATTCTTATTCATTGTTGCTTTTATAATGCCTGGCACATAGAAGTCTCTCCATATACATTTAATGAATAAATGAAGGAATGAATGGACCATTCCGTAACTATTCCAAAGCACTTGCCATAAACAAAGTGAAATTTAACTTTAATTCCTTAAAATGAGGGTAGGATAATGAAAAATAGTAACAAGGAATGTCTCCTAGGCAAACCATAAGAGACACTTAAATACAGAGAACAAACTGAGGATT